AGGAACACAAAGGGAAATACGAAGGCAGACGACAAGAAAGGATGCAGCAAAGGAGACAACCAGCGTTTGAAGGGATATATTGCGGGCAGTTTCGCCGTGGCATACATCACCACATCAAAGCGACCCCAGACATCTCGAATCAGGACCCAAGCCCCGGTGTCGAAAAAAGAAGAAGCTGATTCTCGGTTGTTTGTGTCAATTCCCCATTGCGTGCTGGTTCTGACGACGGCTGGAAGACCGTAGCACAACGGGTAGCATACATTGAACTCATTGAGAGCAACAGCATTGCTTTTCATACGCACCCATCGAACCCTGCAGCAGCCCATAACACCGTCTCAGCGAGAACACCCCCCACATCTGCTATGGTTGCATGTCCGCGCGGCGCCTCTCCCTTGTTGCCATCCCGGAAGTCTGGCTCCAAGATCTCTAAGTCATCCTGCCGGCTAAGCTCTGGCGTCGCTTTCCACCTAAACCCTTCATGCAATCAAGCTAAACACCACCACGCACTCCGAGTCCAAAAGCAATTTGAAGACCAGGTTTCGACATTCCCGAAGCCTAAGCCCTCAGCGAAATTCCCTGAAGTCCTGCACAAAGTCTGCAAACCCTTCGCTGTTTTACAGTCCCCTCTGGCTGTTTCGGCCTCAGACTTGCCAGGGACGCAACAGTTCATGGCCACCGCTCGCTTCGGAGCCCCGGGAGCCTTAGCGAATGGAAGTTGAAGGCTTCGGGTTCAGAGATTAGGCTTTGGCTTTCAGGTTTTGTGCTCCGAGTTCAAAACTTAGTGAGAAGCTGAAGGAGAAGCAGGAAATGCGGGGTCACTGTTTTACCTCCTGAGCATGATGCGATGATGACGATGTCGTGAGAAACAAAAGATGGACATCAGAGTGCCGATGATGCTGTCGCTTGCGCAGGACGATGCTGATAGTGCTGATGCTGACGCCGACGACGATTGCGACCGTGGTGTGGAGTTGTGACGGTATATGCACTTTAGGCCCTGAAGCTCAGACCCGCTTTACGGCCGAAGTATGCCGAGGTGCGAAGCCGCTTTCCGAGGATTCAAGCTGGCACTTGCTCCCTGGCGACCGGTTATCACCGCTGCAGCATCTGGGTACCATGTACTCATTAGACAGCGCACTTCCTTCAAACGTCCTATGCTTACGCCATCCAGGCAGCTTAGAACCCCAAGCAACAACCTTCGTGAACGCCCACTCTACTTCTTACTCCACTCCTACACTACTCCTACTACTTCAATACTACTGTTACTACTGCTACCACTGCACCACCACAACCAGTACCGCTCCACTGCAGCGCGACTACTACCACTGCCTCCGGAACTTCAACAGCTCAAACAACAGTCGCTGCAAGGACTGCAAGCCAGTCCCCCACGGCCATGCCCCGTAAAGTCAACTCTGTGCTTTGCAGCTCGTGTTCTTCCGGTTTGCCTTCTAGCGGCTTCTCCTCCATGAATATGTTGGTGAAGTCCTTGACAGGGCCCAAGCTACGAGCACACTCACCCGCGATGTCGAGCTCAGAGGTGACGATTCTAAACGCGTGTATGTGACACCCTCAGCAACTGCCACAGGTGCTCACACAGCAAGAAGCAAAGACAACATTAAACCAATCCGGACGCCGAGCCCCATGAGAAATGTGTGGGGAAATCCCAAAAGAAATGTGGATCAACAATCTAGGCTTCGGGGATCCAAAAACACCCGCGAAGGATCGAAGACCAATGACTGGTCTTGGGATCTGATAGAAATACCAGTGCGGCGGAGCGGTTTTTTTTTTCCTAGGTCTGGCCCACTGGTTGTGGTTGCCAACAGCGGCAACTGCGGTCTTTGCTGCATCAAGCTATTGGGGAACTAGAATTCGACGGCTCTGGTTTTGCTTCTGCTTTGCATGAAGCTATTGGGGAACTACAAATTGCGGAGTCTGATTTTGCTTGTGTTTAGCATGAAGCTGTTGGGGAACCACAAGTTGCAGGGTTCGGTTTTCTTTGTGTTTTGCATGAAGCTATTGGGGGTTCGCATTTGCAGGGATCGGTGTTGCTTGTGTTTTGCATCAAGCTATTGGGGAACTACAATTCGCAGGGTCTTCTTCTGCTTGTGTTCTGCTTGAAGCTATTAGGGAACTAGAATTTGCGGTGTGTTCATCTGCTTGTCTTTTGCATGAAGCCACTAGGGAACTACAATTTGCGGTGTGTTCTTGTGCTTGTGTTTTGCATCAAGCTAATGGGGGAACTACAATTTGCGGGGTCGGCCTTGTTTGTGTTTTGCATCAAGCTATTGGGGAACTACAATTTGCAGAGTCTTTTATTGTTTGTGTTTTTCATCAAGCTAATGGGGAACTAGCATTCGCAGGGTCTGGTTTTGCTTGTGTATTGCATGAAGGTATTGGAGCACTACAATTTGCAGGGTCGTGTTTCGCGTGTGAATAGTGCGAAATGCCAATTTCAAATCTTCTGTCTTCTGGCGTTGTTTTTTGGTGTCGTTGTCGACATCTAGGTCATCGTCGTCGTCGTCCTCGTCCTCGTCGTTGCCGTCGTGGTAGTTGTTCTTGTTGTTGTTGTTGCTGTTGCTGGTGTTCTTGTTGTTGCTGTAGGGTTCGGTTTTCTTTGTGTTTTGCATGAAGCTATTGGGGGGTTCGCATTTGCAGGGATCGGTGTTGCTTGTGTTTTGCATCAAGCTATTGGGGAACTACAATTCGCAGGGTCTTCTTCTGCTTGTGTTCTGCGTGAAGCTATTAGGGAACTAGAATTTGCGGTGTGTTCATCTGCTTGTCTTTTGCATGAAGCCACTAGGGAACTACAATTTGCGGTGTGTTCTTGTGCTTGTGTTTTGCATCAAGCTAATGGGGGAACTACAATTTGCGGGGTCGGCCTTGTTTGTGTTTTGCATCAAGCTATTGGGGAACTACAATTTGCAGAGTCTTTTATTGTTTGTGTTTTTCATCAAGCTAATGGGGAACTAGCATTCGCAGGGTCTGGTTTTGCTTGTGTATTGCATGAAGGTATTGGAGCACTACAATTTGCAGGGTCGTGTTTCGCGTGTGAATAGTGCGAAATGCCAATTTCAAATCTTCTGTCTTCTGGCGTTGTTTTTTGGTGTCGTTGTCGACATCTAGGTCATCGTCGTCGTCGTCCTCGTCCTCGTCCTCGTCGTTGCCGTCGTGGTAGTTGTTCTTGTTGTTGTTGTTGTTGTTTGGGTCCGGCGTTTCAGGTTTGGGGTTTAGGGTTCAAGGTTTGGCGTGTGAGGCTTGCAACTAACTCATCGGGCTCGGGGTCTGTGGCTGAGGGCATTTGGCCATCAGCTCCCCAGCGAGCATTACTTTGGAAAATGTTTCCCGACTCGTCCTTTGGTTCATCCGCGTTGGATGTAAAGCATGTCCCGTGCCGGTACAAGCAGTCTTGGATGAGTGCTTGATGCACTCACTCCTGAATGTTGAGAAGTATGAGGGAGGAAAGCTTGGCTCAAGTCTTCGCGGTTTGAGGGTTTAGGGGCACAGGACCAGGAGAGACCAGGGAACCAGGGGACCAGGGACCAGAAGACCGGAGGACCAAAGGACCAGGGGACCAGGACCAGAGGACCAAAGGACCAGGGGACCAAGGGACCTTGGATGTAAAGCATTTCCCGTGCCGGTACAAGCAGTCTTGGATGAGTGCTTGATGCACTCACTCCTGAATGTTGAGAAGTATGAGGAAGAAAGCTTGGCTCAAGTCTTGGCGGTTTGAGGGTTTAGGGGTACAGGACCAAGAGAGACCAGGGAACCAGCGGACCAGGGACCAGGGGACCGGAGGACCAAAGGACCAGGGGACCAGGACCAGAGGACCAAAGGGCCAGGGGACCAAGGGACCATGGGACCAGACCTAGCAAGGCCCCCCAGACCAGGCCAGACCTAGGAAAAAAAAAACAGTGGACCCGTGCCAGTGCATTTGCTCAAAAACAGGATCAACAAAAACAGCCGAAGGCTGCGGAAAAAAAAATACCGCAAGGGTGGGCTTCCTTGTGGTAGCACTAGTAAGTAGCCATAACAGTAGTATCCATAATAGCAAGAAAAACAATGACACTAATAAATGCAATAAGAATGACAGTAATAGTAATACAGTAGTGATAGAGCCGCACTGCGTAGAAACACACGGATGACCAGCCCCGATGAAGCACATGGTGGTCACAAGTGACCCGCGAGGGGGTGGTCACAAGTGACCAGTCTGCCCACCGCATTATCCAATTTTCAGATCACGCATACCAACACCAACTCTGAACCCGACAGAACAACGGAGCCTGCTCGGAGGTGGTGGCTTTGCCAGTTCCCTCTTTTGCCATCTCATGCCTGCACAGATGTATGCGGCAGCGGTGTTCTGCAGAAGGCGTCCACAAATGAGGTCAGGGCGTCGGAGTCGGGCTCTTGGAGCCTCAAAGCAGCATGCCAAGAACCGCCGTGCATGGCTAACCTGTGTGATCATTTGTCCATTTGTCATTTGTGAAAGTAGCAGGCGCTCGCGACTGACTGTATGTCCCGCGACACTTCGGCACGTTGGGTACCCCAAAAGGCAGGTCGGCTGCGTGCTTGTTCCAGGTTCGCCGTTGCGCCCGGCAATTCTCTGGGGTTTCTCTGCGGCCTCCTAGATCCCCACATGTTTGTCTTGTCGGGGCTTCCGACGAATTTGCGTCGAGGCACAACCTCGCAAACACTTGCTACTGCTACGATTCTTTCGGAGTCCAAGACGTGGGTCTTCGGCTACCGTCAGAGTGTCAAAGGTTCCCGCTTCCTACGCCTTTGAAGTTCAACTGTTTGCGACAGGGGGGTGTATGGGTATACTTCGTCAGGCACACCGGTGGGGTATGCCAGGTATGCCATCACCTGGCAGGACGTGTCCGAGAGCAGCGCAGCATCGGTATCGCCCGGTATTTCAGCGCAAGGCATCGTTTCTTCAAAAAAGGAAATTACAGGTTTCGTGAGCTTCTCGGACTGGGCCGCTGCCTGTCAGTGCATCCTGCGTACTGTCACAATCTTAACAACCTGAAAACCCACCCTAAAGCGTTAGGCTGCGAGCCGTGGTCCCCGCCCCAGTCATCGTACTCGTCTCCGGCGGTGGCCCAAGCGCGCATAACCTGGCCCGACATGCACGCAGATGCACAGCGCAGCACGGTCTGCTCTGTAGAGCTGCACTTTGGCCGAGGACGGTGCCTGTCGGGTGCCCCTGTGTCGTTTGTGAAATTCTGTTACGACTTTGGCGGCTTCCTTTCCATCAGCATCAGTCGCCGAAACAATAATCACAGCATTCATGTCGTTAGTGTTCTGGTCCAAGTAGGAAGATGCTGCATCCTTCGGACCTCAGACTGCTCAGCCCCCAAGCAGCCTTCGGACTGCAAACAGCCTATGATTTTGCGTCCAACACCGCCTATGCCCGCGGCGAAGGTCCTCGAGCCGGATGCGCTCCATTGTGAACTCTTCTGCGTCCAGCAGCAGCTTTTTGTTGTCTACAGTAATGAAGGGGTACTCCTCTTTTTCTCTTGCCTCGTTCCTCAGTGACATCCGGAAACAGGCGGCTCATGGCGCGGTGGCGTTCTCAACCGCAGAACTGGGACTTGGGCAGATCCTCCTCCAAAGCGGGATATTCGAGCACCGTCATGTCATTGCCCACATTTGGCTGGATGCCCAACAGCTTCAGTCCTCAATGCAGAGATCTAGATTGCTGCAGCAAGCAAGCTTCTCCCATGACCCCATGCAGGCCATGCCCCGCCGCAAGGAGGCTCTGCCCCGGCACTCGCCTGAACCGCCCCGGAGGCGGGCCTAATGAAGGTCTGTCAACGTATCAGGTGTTACTGGGGCGGGACCCTTTCTTTTTTTCTTATTTCCCCAAAAGCATCGCGAAGGGTTCTTCCGTGCGAAGCCCTTCGTTAAGTGCATAGAGCCAAGTAAATCATCAAGTCAAGTGCGTCGAGTGCATAGAGCCAAGTAAACCAAATCGAGTGAAGTGCATAGAGCCAAAGAGTCAAGTGCATAGAGTCAAGTTTATATTTCAGGCGCATAGAGTTGAACCTTCAACTAAACCATCGACCAAACAATCGATATAGATCTCGGTAAGCGGGGGGGTGGCGTCGTCGTCATCGATCGGGAATGCAACTGTCTCGAGGATGGGCGTGGTCGAGTGCACCAATGCGTGGTTTCGTTGCAATTTGCCTGCGCGCCGTGTCACCTGTCTCGAGGATGGGCGTGGTCGAGTGCACCAACGCGTGGTTTTCGTTGCTATTTGTCCCAACCTTTCCGCGTCACGCGCCACCTGTCTCGAGGAAGGGCGTGGTCCAGTGCACCAACGCGTGGTTTCCTTGCTATTTTTCCCAACATATCCACATGATGCGCCACCTGTCTCAAGGATGGGCGTGGTCCAGTGCACCAACGCGTGGGATCTCATGCACTTTTGTCAACATATCCACATGCAGCGCCACCTGTCTCGAGGATGGGCGTGGCCGAGTCCACCAACGCGTGGTTTCGTTGCTATTTTCCCAACATATCCACGTCATGCGCCTGTCTCGAGGATGGGCGTGGTCGACTGCCCCAACGCATATCCCAACATATCCGCGCAACGCGCCACCTGTCTCGAGGATGGGCGTGGTCGAGTGCACCAACGCGTGGTTTCGTTGCTATTTTTCCCAACATATCCCAACATATCCGCGCAACGCGCCACCTGTCTCGAGGATGGGCGTGGTCGAGTGCACCAACGCGTGGTTTCGTTGCTATTTCTCCCAACATATCCCAACATATCCGCGCAACGCGCCACCTGTCTCAGGGGAGGATGGGCGTGGTCGAGTGCGCCAACGCGTGGTTTCGTTGCTATTCCCGAAAGCATCGCGAAGAGTTCTTTCGTGCGGAGCCCTTCGTTAAGTGCATAGAGCCAAATAAACCATCGAGTGAAATGTATAGAGCCAGACCATCGAGTCAAGTGCATAGAGCCAAGTGCCGAGTGCATAGAGTCAAGTGCATAGAGTCCAGTGCATAGAGTCAAGTGCATAGACTTGAACCTTCGACCAAAACATCGACCAAACCATCGATTTAAGCGTTTTAAGTGTATAGAGCCACGTGCATAGTCACGCTCTGGGAAATGGTTGCTTTCGGGCCAATCGACTTCTGGTTTCTTTCTTTCTCTCCTTCTCTCTCTATACTTTGCTCAGACTATGGAGAGAGCATTTTTGATCCCTGGGACAGGTTTCTGTGCTTGGTTCTGTTTCTTCCTGTCCTGCTCTCGATTTTGCTTGTAAAATGCGAACAGATGTTTTTTATCTCTATCAAACTGTTTTTCTTATTACTAAAAACGTTCTGTTAACCCCCTACATCCCAGAGAAAAACCAGCGGTCGACTGCCGCTGCAGCCCCTCTGCAACTGCACAAGCTAGCGACAAAAGAATTCAGGTCTGCATTGGGATACAAGCGTCCGGTGGCCCCCTCATCCACAGCAATCTGCATTTTGGCCATCACCGAGAAGCGGTAGAACGAATACCACTTGAACCGCTTGACTCCCTGGCCATGGGCCCATGGGGCCATGCTGTGCCGGACTGTGCCAGACTGCAAGCTTAAGCCGAAGGGGTCCTTTACATTTATGGCTGAAGGATTGACGCTGAAGCTCTAGCTCCCGTGCCTCGCCCTCACGCTGTGGGAGGTCTTTGAACAGCGGCATGAAAGCGAACTTTGCCTCGGTTCCGGTTCAGCAAGTCAGCTTCAGGTGATCTGCATCGGGCAAGTGAGGCGCAGACGCGCCCGTGAGATCCATGCCGCTCTTTGTTGCTATTGTGTTCCCGAACCACCTTCTTCACCTCGAGGACTTCCTTCACGTCGCACGCTGCAATGATGACGGCACGCCTGTCTGCCGTGTGTTTGCTGATCTCCTTGCCTTGCAGAGTGCGGTAAAATGAGTGCAGCACTGGCGAATACTGCAGCATGCATCGAACAAGGCTCAGACCCAAGGAGTTGAGGGAGATTTGCGATGCAAAGGTGATGCTTTTGTAGTCAAGGACCAATTTCCCGTCAACGTAGAAGGGGTGCTTCTTCGATTTGAACGCTTTCCCCCTCGGTTGTGAGGGGCATCATGTCCTCATGATCGACCACTTCACACTGCTGGGCCGGGATGTTCGGTACTTCCCACTTACATAACTAAGTCGCCGACATGTCTTCTTGCAGCTTTCTAGCTGCTTTAAAGAGATAATCATGCTCCAAGTCAAGCTTCGTGGGCTCCGTTAAGATCAACATCTTGACTCCTGGACTAAACTGCAGAGCTGCGGGATGGGCATGCGCGTCAACTCGGAACGAAAATGCTCTTGCACGTCAACAGTAGACAATAGACACAATACCGACAGTCCTGGTGCACTTTCATCGAAAGAAGACTGTATCATCGAGTACATAGCATGTCGGTAGTGGGCGTACCACTGTTTGTAGCGCTCTTCATAATTCTCTTGCAATCTTCTTTCTTCCTGCAACAAAAGCGTGTGTCCCTGTGAACAGTGCTTGACGGGTGCCATACGCACGGTGGATTAAGCCAGCTTCACTTAAAAGCCCACAAGCTGCTTCCAGTTTGCATCCTACTGCCAAAAGGCCAATTACTCCGCCGCAGAGCAGAACTGTTTCGGGAAAGAAAAGTTCGGATGCTGCCTATGTGTTTAACCTTCCTCCCGGAACTTACCGAAGACGCATGCCGCCAGCATGGATGCCTTCAGCCGAAATTTCCGGTGAAACCAGCAGGAGCCGAAGGCGCAGCAGAAGAAGCTTCCAATTACGCTTGACCTTGGGATGCGAGCCGATGCTACAGACAAGCTACGCCTACACGAGGACTCGATGAGCTTCCCGACTTTGACGCTTCAGCCACATGCCACAAGGGACATGGGCAGAAAAACCCTTGGAATGCTGCTGAAGCGCACTGTGGCCCAAAACCACGGCAACTCGACCATCCAAGCCTGCAACACTTGTGGGGCTTTCCGGACCCACTTGCCACAACCGACGATGTTGCACCGGTGCGCCCCCCACGCCTCGAGGCAGATCTTGAAAGAATCATAGCTGGAACCTCCTCGCAGAATAATCGAGCCTCTAGGCACGGGCCCAAACCCAAAATTGAAATCATTCTGTTTTACCTCTTCGCCGTTGAGGAGTAATGGAGTGAACTCCGGCCGTTTTTTCCAGAAGAGGCGTCGCTTATTCGACTCGTGGACAAATATTCCGCAGACAGCATCGGCATCGTCGCTGTTCTGGTAGTTGCCGTTGGTGATGCACCCCGCATCGTCGTCGTCAACCTTGCAGTACCTCATGGAACAAGTCATCAATGCCTTGAAACCTTCCGCCAGGCGAGGCCGCAATGAACAAGACGTGGAACCAGCGAGATCGTTTACTCTCTGTTTGCATCTGGGACTGGCTGGTTACCGATGGCCTCTCCCACAAGTTTGCGAGCATCACGTAAGCCCTGCCGGCGTTTCTCCCAGAGAAAGAAAGGGTAGATATAAAAGCTGCTCAGTTTGCAGAACTGTCCATGTGTTGGTTAACAGTCAACAACTGTCCTCCCTCGGAGTTCAGATGTCTTGCCCAGCATATCAGCCCAACGAAGACAGTTCATGGAGAAACTGGAGCCGGTTCGTCTGTAGCGGCTGTAGCGTAAGCGGATTCCCAAGGACATTCTCCGGGATGAGATTTTTGGGAGCTGCGGGGCGAAAGCCATGTAAATCGTTCGTGTTCTTTTTGTGGGTTTAACGAGGGTTGATCCCCTCACTTGCGCGCCTCCTTTGTTTAGGACCGCGGTGTTTGCCATAAGCATCTGGTCTGCTCTGTTGCTACGAAGCTCTGTGTTTCCAAGATTACATAATTAGCTTACACAATCAAAATGCCCCTGGTGATTGCGCGCTTCAGTGCGTGGCAGGTAAGCTGGGCCTCCTGTGGCACTCGTTGCACTCAACAAGGTACATCAGCAACACCGCGTTAACGTACACAAGTATCTACTCAAGTCACATATATATATATGTATAAATATATATATATATATATATATGCTCACCCCCCCTTGACAGACCATGCCCTTGTGACAGTGTACTCTCGTTCGGTGACTCGGTTGAGATCTTGTATCTAAACACACCACCAGCACAGAACGATAATCTGTAAAGCAAAACCTTTACAGTACAAAGACAACGTATACTTTTAACATGCCATGTACTGAGGACGCATGGACCAGACGCGCGGCACATCAGTTAATAGTTTTGTGGTAGTCTTGATATTAGGATGAGTATTAGTATTAGTATTAGTATTAGTATTAGTATTAGTATTAGTATTAATATTAGTATTAGTATTAGTATTAGTATTAGTATTAGTATTAGTATTGGTACTAGTATCAGTAATAGTATTAATGTTTACTGCAAGTATTTATATATATATATATACCTGTATACATATATGTATATGTCCATATTCGTGAATACTTATTGGTGTTAGTGCTCATCATTGTGTTAGTGTAGTTTCAATGTCAATGTCAGTAATAGTACCACTGCTAGTATTAGTACTGTATCAGTCTTCATCCAGGGTTGAACATCAGTTAATAATCGCAGAAGTGCTAGTATTAGTATCAATATTAGAAATAGTTTCGACATGTTACAATTCTGATAGTTTCGTATATCAGCAGGTTCGTATATCAATACATTAATGTATTCGGGCAGCAATATATTCGTATAATTGTATATTCGTGCATTTAATATTTTAGTACAAATGATGCATGAGTACACTAGTATATTGGTGTAGTAGTATATTAGTATATTAAAACATACCAATTTCTTCGTACATGAATATAATATATGTACTATATTCGTGTATTGTCGCCTGACTTATAAGTCTATCAGTATGTTGTCATACTAGTATACTAACCTGCCATGTCGGTATACTTGCATATTACAGTGGTCGTATATTAGTATATTCGCATATTGGTATAGTATACCCAGACATTAACAAGCAGTGTATTGTTGCATTGGCATATGGGTCTATGCTCATCCTAAAACAGCTAAAACATCAGTACATGAATTCATTAATACATACCTGCATTTTAAGAGAGTGGTATGTCATTTGATGTGCATTAGTATATGCACGTGTCCTTTAGTAATGGTATGAGTATTCATATCAATATGAATATGGTTATTGGCATTCGTAAGAGTAAAAATGCTTATATTAGTAGTCGTATTAGCCTTAGTAAAAGTGTTAAAATCATGATTTTAATGCTGGCATTTCCTGAATTTTCGACAAGTTATCAATGTCAGTATTGGTATTGGTGATGGCATTACTGTTAACACCAACAGAGTCTACGCAGTAGTATCCGTAGGAGTATCAATACTTGTGTAAATATTGGTGTTAGTGTAAATAGCGTGATTGGTATGAGTTATAGTGCTAGCGCTAGTGCTAATATTAGTCCCAGCTTGCCGTCGGGCAGCCCTGCCTTGCGACGGGCGCGCCAGTCCAGGTGGAGGCTGGGTCGTGCCTGCTTCTCAGGCATGGCGGGGACATCGGTGGCGCAAAATGTCTGAGTTACCGTGCTTGGCAAGCTGGCTGCAGGCCGTGGGCTGAGTGCGTGCGACGCGGGGAACAGCAGCGGAAGCAGTGGGAGAATGGGGAGCTTTCGGACTCCCCCGGCTCGGGGTCAGGGTCCCGGGACAAGGGCCAGGAGCCCTGCCTCCTACTGAAGCCACAGCCAAGGCTATGAGCCCGAGCGGCTGGCAAGCTGCACAAGTGGCTAAGGCTTAGGCCTGCCACGCTGCTGAGGTGGCTAGGACTTAGCAGAGACTTGGAGTCATCCAATGTGCGCGGAAAAAAGAACCTGGTGCCACAGCTGAGGGGTGAGAGGGCCTAAACCCTGTTTCTAGAAACCCCTATAAACCCTTAACCCTATACTCTATAAAGCCAAAACCTTGAACGGGGCCTATTACGGTTTAGGGTGTATAGAGGATATGTATATATACATATATATATATATTTATTTATATATTTATATATTTATATATTTATATATTTATATATTTATATATTTATATATTTATATATTTATATATTTATATATTTATATATTTATATATTTATATATTTATATATTTATATATTTATATATTTATATATTTATATTTATAATCATATTCATATTTATATTTATATTTATAATCATATTCATATTTATATTTATATTTATATTTATATTTATACTTATACTTATATTTATATTTATATTTATATTTATATTTATATTTATATTTACAGAAAGCGTCACACTGCAGGCCCGAGTTTTGGACACCTACAGTTTGTATCTCTGTTGCATACTGTGGCCAACGGCTTCTCGTACAATGTACAATGTCCCATTCACTTGTACCAGATAAACTGCTTACGTCTAAGCTTTGTTGTGTAGGCATCTTGTCTATAGGCATGTTGTCTATGTCGTGGTGGAGTTAGACAGACTAATGGCTATGCGGGGGCTGCAGGAACAGCATGGAGTGCGCGGGTGGGCGGGGGGGGCGGGGGGGGACAAAAAAAAAAAAAAAAAATTTTTTTTTTTTTTTTGGACCCACCCCCTTCTCCCCCGCACAGCTCTTCCACCCCCATACCCGCCCACCCCTCACACCCACCCCCATATCCCTGCTTCATTCCCTCCTCCCCTCGCTGCCCGCGCACTCCATGCTGCTCCTATGTGTAGCATCATCACAGTCATTACATGCTGTCTTCATCGATGTTTTATTTAACCTTTTCTTCATTCAAACGACTATTTCATCTTATTCCTTACCCTATTCTCAATCCGGTACCCGCGCAGGATATCCTGCTCCGTTATGCATTATCATATCAGTAAAGGGTTGTCTCCATTGCTGTTGTGTATATAATACGATGTTTTCGTTATTGTATTTTATTTTTCAGAAAGCGTCATCCTGGAGGCCCGGTTTGGCGTAGTTCACGTAAAGTCAACATTATTGTGTTGCTGTACAAATACATACGCAATCTACATCTTTCGAGTTCTAATATGTGTACCCTAGCTCTTGGAGTCTGTGATTTCTTCTTATACTAAATAAAATAAGGCTGTTGCTTCTACTACACTCATAATTAAAATAATTTGATTATTGCAGTAAGACATAGAAGCCACGCAAAAAAAAAGGATCTGGTAATGAAGAAAAATATATACAGTTTTTTTTTTTTGTGGCGTGGCTTCCGTCTGATCTCTAAGCCTTCTGTATGTCTTGAAGCCGCGATTGGTGGTTGGGGGAGGGGGGTCAATCCACGCGCGTTTTTTTTTCCAAATACTTTTATGCGCAGATTTTCGCGTCTAAAACCCCTGGGAAATCATTTTGCGGGGAAAAAATCCTAGGCCAGCAATAGTAAAAAAGTACAGAAAAAACGCATCTTTTGGGGCCCCGCTACTTATATCCATACAATGAAGTAATGTTTTTCTGCATGCCCAGATGCGTCACCAAGTCGAGTCCAAGATTTTATTCGTACATTGACAGCAGAACACACCAAACCACGCTCATGCTCTAAGTTACCATGCCGCACCCAAATTATTTTTGTTACTTTACTGCACTTTGCCAAAATATTACTAGCCACTTTCATCTCGAAACCTCCGGACCGAAGACATACCATGACCATAACAGTAGTTGGAAAAATGAAATTGTATGGCAAGTCCTAGTAAAACCTACACTGGGTGGAAAACTTGATGTTCTTCTACTATACCTTTGCCAAAACATGAATACCCACTGTGAGCACGAAACTTCCGCACCGAAAACAGACCATAACAGCAGTTAGAAAAATGGAGCTGTATGAGAAATCCCAGCACCACTCATAGTGACGAAACAAATTTGTGTTTCGAACCACACAACTCCATTTTTTCAAGTACGGTTATGGCATCTCCTCGCATATGCTGGGTATTGTTCTGTTCTTGGTAGCGCCGTCAACAGCCTCTGTAATTAAGGTAGGACAGAGAAGCAATGCCCACGCGGGACACAATTGCTTATGCAGGCTCCCTCAGCAGTTACATCCTGGGAACAAGTACCGAAAGTTGCCATGCGATCTAAATGCAGCGGATGTGGACGATGGAGGAAAGACAGATGTACGTGCCAGAAGGCCATGGAGATCACCAACTCGAATCATAAAATGAGTGCGTGAATGAATCAGAGAGTAGAAAGGAGAGTGGGAGAGAGATACAGAAATACCAAATCAACACGGCTACAATATGTGCGGTTATAACATATATCTTGTGTGTTAAAACAAGTGCTCTGTCTTCATTCTTGTGTCCCTTGTCCCCTGTCCCCTGTCCCCCGTCCCCTGTCCCCTGTCCCCCGTATTCCTGTCCCCTGTCCCCTGGTGCTCTGTCTTGTAATCTATTGTATATGTTCTTACGTTCCGTCTCTTCCTCGTTAATATAAAGTACTATATGTAGACTCTGAAACGTCATATCCTATCGTATAAGTTGTTGTTCTGCTCATTGCAATGTCTGGATATATCCCATGCAATTGCAGATTTCGTTTGTTTCGGTGCACTCAACTTGCGTTCATGCTGCTAATGCGGCCGACTGCATTTGCGTATCAGAAGACCTTCTGTTCAGGCATCTATCGAAGATGCACGACCTGTCGAAGTATGGTCCATGACTCAGACCTGTCGACATTAGAACTATACTCCCAGTATATTTCTTTCTCACACCACTGATTAGCTTTGCATTCTGCAGCCACTCTTTGCATTCAAGCATCCTTCGCGTCCGTCTTGTAGTTCTGCCACGACCTATTCGACGATGTCCATCTCGCCGTATCCCGCCCCGATGTCTCCTGAAGATGCACCTCAGGATGATCTAGAGCGTGAGTTGGAAAGTCTTATGCACGAGGATGCTGATCTTGATCACGAGCCAGATCACGCTCCCGAGACACACGACCCGCCTCCTCCCCCTCCGAAACGCCTTCGTGGTGCCCAACTGATGCTTAGTAGCACAGTAGTCTTGATTATTGTAGTAGCAGTTATATTATGGTAAGGTGTATATCTCACTGGAGAGTTCTACACCTATTGTTTTTGCGTTAGTTTGCAGTTCTTCACCTCAGGTTCCGTGCCTTTTCAGACTTGCAGGATACTGATCAACGTCATGCCCAAGTGTCAGATCCTCCCAAGGTTCCAGCAAAGATGGACAAGGCCAAGAATGTCCTTGAAATTGTGGCGGAATACGAAGGTTGGAGCCTTGCAAATCACCCCGACTTTGCTCCCCGCCATCGCATGTTTATGTCTGTCGCGAAATTCATCTGCGACATGAACGCGGCCAACTACATGATGTCGAATGTGCAGAAGCTAACCATCTTCATGCTCATCGATGGTGGTAGTTGGCGAGCTCATAAGCGACAACTCTTTCATCTCCGTGATGGTGCTTGGGACATGGCAGACAAGCTCACGCTTGAAGCATGGGATTTGCTATCAGCCTTAGAAGGACTGTTTGTTACCATCGCATCGAAGTTCGAGGAAGCCGGCGGTGAGGTCAAATGGTCATGGAGCGAGGCGTCGGAGTTCATCCGCGACACCATCACTGAATCTATTCATGACGGGGATCTCATCGATGTACTTGCCTCGTTTGCGAAGCAGAACAGTGATCATGTCCGTATGGTCACTAGTAACAAAACCTGGAAGGCCACATGGGCCAGAAGGGTTGCCGACATGGTCGCTTCCTACCGCAAGGCTTGGGAAACCAACGCCCATACAGCAATCCTATCTCGCTTGTTCTTACAGGATTGCGAAACGCCAATGCCGAAATCGCAAGGCATTTGCTTCGATGATATCTATTTGACTCCCACATGGGATATCCACCCAAAGTCAGAAGCCCGCGACTGTTATGTTCGATTCGACTATCCATATTTCTACGAGAACATGGTGATGTCTGACTCTACCATCAACGTTGACACCTTCAAAGAAAAGCTTCGTCTCTTCATCACATCATTGTACTACAAGAACGAGCACGCGTTCCAGGTCAAGCTGTGCTTCTTATGTGCTGCCTTTCAGGGCGTGTGTACTGGAAAAATGCTATTCCAAATCGGTCGTGGCGGAGACGGTAAAGGCATGGAAGCGGTACTCGATGCAGCACTCTTTGGGTCCTTATCATCGGCAAGTCTCGACTGTGGTGTCTTTCTGGATCGTATGGAGTTTCGCAAGAGCGCAGAATTGGCGTGGAATAAGTCCAACATTCGCATCCAGGAAATGGACACCAAAGTGCGATTTCTGTCCGATATATGGAAAAGGTTCATAGTCGATGAAGAGATCGACTGTAGAGTGAACTACGGATTCACGACGAAGAGACGTTTTGGAACATCCTTGAAGATACAGGAGGTAAACTACGAAAATGTTCCTGTCATCGAGGAGAGCAGAGACATGAACAAGGCCTGTGAACAACTTCGCAGACGAGTGGTTTGTATTCGGATGGGGAATGCAACATACACACCGAATCCTGCCGAAGTTGATCACAAAAACGGCCTCTATCTGCTCATTCCACAGGATGAACTGACATCTTTTCTTCGTCACCCGGTTACAGCAGCACTGTATTTGCGAGAATGGTGCTTGCCCTTCTTCCAGGAGAACTCTTTGGCGGATTGCTTGAAGATGTTGCATGATTTGAAGTCAATTGATGATCGTCTGGAAGCAGACACCCAGTGGTTGGCAGCCAAACTATCTGGGCGAGATCTTCCACCTCCTGGCAATGATCGGACATTACTCGACGCCAATGACGAGATCGTAGAATTGGTACATGGTGCAACTCCACACAAGTCGATCATCAAGGAGTACTTGCTTCACAAAATCGAGGAGCTTCCAGGGTGCATAGCATCAAGTCGTGGTCGTACCACCAAGCTTCAGACCTTCGTTAGCGCAATCGATCATTCAGCCATGAAACTCTTTAAGCAACTGGACCACAACTCATTCGAGAAGCTGCAGATCAACTGGGCGAAGCTGAAGCAGTCGATGATTCGATGCGGAGGTCAGGAAATGTTCGGTAATTGGATGGAGTGGACGTGCCCATTTGATCTGAATTTTGTCATCCAGTCGTGGGATGGCAATGCATTCCATGACTACTCAGCATTCTACATGCAACATTGCACATCCAGAGGCAATGCCGATGCACTACTTCGACCACTGGCTGCTGCAGTACAGGAGAGTGTTGAGCTTGAACAACTCCGACGATATGCTGAACAGGGACATGATCGCCGACAAGAGCTTCTGGAAGCCTACATACATCGTCACGACACCGCGGGGTTCTTGGATGCAGATGGTATGTCAGTGATTGAGGTGGAGTACTACACGCGGCCATGCTATGGTAGACTACTTGCTCGTGGTGTTTCGGGACAGAAGCTTACCAGGGAGGCCAGAGCGGTGGCCTTCCAGCATTGCACCGAGGTAGACGCAGCTTGTTGCCACCCCCGTCTTTTGCGACAGAAGTTGATGGACTTGGATGCTTGGTCAGATGCCAAGTACGTCATGCTATCTCGCTTCATCAAGAACTACAAGTCGCGGCGTCAGTGTATCGCCGACTACATGGACATCTCATTGGATGATGCCAAAGTCGAGCTTATCAGGCTGTTTTACGGAGGCAAGCCTACCTGTAGCATTCCATTTCTCCTGAAGCTATGCTCGGAGATTCAGCTCGCAGCACAGGTGATCGTTCATCATGAGAGTTCACGACGCTGGCAACAGTTATACTCGGATCGCCGCAATCCTGAGTTTTCCCGTCTATCTGGGATACTTTCCTTTGATGAGGCCAGTATGCTTGCAGAGGTGTCCAGTTTGATGGGAGACTCCATGTGTGTCTTGCTCTTCGACGGTGGCTACATCAGGTGTCGTGACCTACATGATGACGTTGCCTTGCATCATGCTTTGGAGACTGAAGATTCTCGTGTCGGTACACAGATTCGCCGATGGGGACCCTTGACCACTAACTCTCTGCCTCGACTTCTTGTGCGTCGTGGTCTCGCGCAATTCTACCGCACACAGGATGTAGTGGACTATGGGAACTGTCTTCTCACTTCACTCTACTACATGGAGCACGAGTGTGATTTGGGTGAACTCACCGAGAATGAGCTTGACGATGGCATCTCGGCCAGAGAGTTCAATTTGTACTCATTGCACTGTTCACAGAGGGATGAGAACGCAGTGCATGCTTTGAAGTGGCTACCTGATGGTTTTCGACCTGATGATGCTACAAATGGTGCAGTCTATGTGTTCCATGAACAGTCGAGCCCAGGAGTAGTCGGTCATTGGTGGACTGCTAAAATCTGTGGGGAAACGGAAATAGCGGTTTTTGACTCCACAGCTCCAGAATGTCTCATGGGTGCCAAGATCGTGGATTTTCAGACTATCCTGGAGGAGATCGACGGTATGAATGCTTTCCTACTCATTTTGACGACGGCGACTGAACCGGTAGACATGCCTCTTCACTCCGCGTACGATCTGCGAGGTGCAGGTCCACCCGATACAGATGCAAATACTCTTTACATCACCACTCCAATCCGAGCTTGCGTGGAATGCAGTTCTCCTTTGGCGCCGGCTCATGAAGTGGCAGGACGCGTCTACACATTGAGCGGATTGCGGCAAGTGGTGGTTACAACAAAACGCTGCTCGAGGAAAAGCTGTCGCGCACACCATCACTACAATTACAGAAAGGTCGACGGTCAAAAGTACCACAGTCTGCCTTTGGAAGACCTGGAGTACCTCTTCGTGAACAGCAAAGTAGGATTCGAACGCACCTTCTTGGACTATCACGACGCGCTTCAGTTCCGCGGAGGCATCAGTCACAATGCCATCGAGTTCGCGCAGTCGCAAACACTTTGGGAAGACGCAGAACAGCATTACAGATGGCATCGTGAGTACGCGAGTGCGCAGCTCTACTACTCCGTCATCTTGGAAAGCACTGAGATGTGGGGCAATTCCACAGCAACCATGAGACGTCGAATCTTCAACATTGAGATCGACGACCCGCTGTCGAACGACTTCTTGACTGAATACCAGGACTGGTGGCACAAACATCAGCTTTCTAGAGTCGAATGGCAAAAGGTCACCGAAGTGGTGATGGATGGCCATGAGAAAGTCGCCGCAAAATGTCCCGGAATTCCGCTAGCTCGCGCCGGTCGCCCACGCAAAGACGGTCAGACTCCGCAGCGACAGAATGGCTGGTTCATGGCCATTGACCCAGGGTGCGGCCTTATCCTTTCTGTCACGAACATGTTGGAGCCGGAGAATAACGAGGTTGCGAAGGCAGTCCTGAACAAAGTTATATCTCGTGCTTCCAATTTGAACTGTGTCATTTACGACAAGATGTGCGTTTGTCAGAAAGCCTTCAGTTCCGACCAGAACTTCGCGAAAGTGAAGTATTGGTGCGTAGATCGCTTCCATGCAAAAGCTCACGGTGATCGTTGCCCATGCTCGCCTTTGCTTCATCGCCGACTTGATCTTCGATTGCGTGATGTCAACACCTCGATTGCAGAACAGACGTTCTCGTGGTTCCGCGGATATGCCTCCAGTTTCAACACCAAGAACGCAGACACACACATCTTCTATGTCCTGCTGTATGTCAAAAAGCACAATCTCCTTGTCCGCAAAGACTACATTCGCCACCTGAATCCCTTCAGTGCTCGGGCCAAGGCATCCAAGTCTCGCCATGTTCTGACGCGTCCATCGTCCAAGAAGTATCATTGTCGTCGCCCTGCTGCCTCCGGTCGTGCTGGTGTCGTCTACAAGAAGCCGTCCAAGAAAGTGAGGAAAAATCACATCAAGCAGAAGTGAGAGAGATTTTACGGAGCGCAGAAAGATTTTGTTCAGAGAGAATTGTAGCAAAGATGTTACAGTTGTATGGCATAGTATATTTTCAATGTGGTGTTAGTCCAGAGCTCTAGGTGCAGGCAAGCTACACGCAGCTCGCATCGCATGCAGAGAGATATGTAGTTATAGTAGTAGTATTAGAGGAAATGTTGGGAAATCACATTGTGCAAATCGTTTCGAAAATATCAGAAGAGGATCTCTCTGTAGCGACACTGCCTAAGACCCGCAACCGCTGAGACTGATGCGTCACACTCAGTTGCCTTTACACAATGCCTCTGTTAGCTGTCTTATGCAGAATAAGAAATATTTAGAAAAATAACACATGATGTTGCCGGCTAAGGTCATGCGCTCAGAGTGACACTGCCTCGACGTTAGCTTGCTGTATGTGCGTATTAGCTCTATATAGAAGGCCTGTGTTTTTCTATCCAATTGTAAATAGTTGCATGACAAGTTATATAAATCAAGAAAAACACGTAGTTTAGTACGAAAAACACAGGCCTGTATTCCGACGCACTCTCTATTTATATATATATATATATATGTCTAAGGAACTGGAGGGTATATATAGAAACTGAGGCACCTTCTGCCTTCTGTATGAGCCTCTGCCGATAGAGTTTCGGCTCAATTGTATAAGTGCTTTGCTCGCTTCCCTTGCCCTGTATAGGCTGCCGCCATGGACTACGAAGATACGGAACTCGACATGAACCAGATCCCTGTGGCCGAGCCACACAAGGAGAACTGCGCTGTCGAGGCCGACCGCCAGTGGTGGGAAGAAAGCCGAACGTGGGTGGGATACTCACGGTGGCAAGTTCTCAACTGGTACTGCAAGAGAACACGCTCCTTGGATTGTCCTCTTATATATACGTATATGAAGATTTCGTAGGCATCTCTCCTGGGGTTGAGATCCTAGGTTGGATGCTTCGAGTCCAGAAGAGGTGGTATCGGCAACGCGAGCAAGCAAGGAAATCAAGCAGGAAGGTCCTCGCACGTTTCAGCTCCAGATGGGGTTCGGACTGATCAAGCTGCAAGCTGTACAGCATTTTCTTGCACAGGAATCGGCTGACAATTCTGGAAGTACTCCAGTGTTATCGTCTCCAAGCATGAAACCCCTTCGAGTGATGAAAGAATCTTCTTGTGCGAGACATGTCTGCTCAGTGAGTGACAGATTTGTATCTTTGTTTTCTCAGGACCTATAGCTCCTAAATATATGTGCATCAAGATTTAAGTTTACATGTAATAGAAAATTCTAGAAGCTTGCCCCCTTCAGTATCTAGGTTCCTGTAGTGGATTTTATGCCTGGATCCCTTGCAGAAAGCATGATTGCTGGCTCAGCTGCTGTAGTCTGGAGGGTCAGGATTTTCGCTTTCAAAGGCTTCAGAGTCTGATTGAGAAAGCCTCTCCAGGCAGTCTGCAGCACAGTAACCACCTTAACTTCACCTAAAGCCTCTTGGCTCCAGGGTAAATCTAAGAATCTAAGGCAACTCACCACCTTAACACCTTAGCCATCCCAGATACCAGAAGCCTACAGTAAGGGCTTCCACCTAGAGCCACCTTAACTAGCCAGGCTTAGAAAGGGCAGCCACCTAACCACCTTAACTGTCCAGATCCAGGCAGCCTTAGGAATCGGACCACCTAGCCTTCAGGTGGCCCAGGCTTGAGGCCAGGCCTCCACCTCAGTTCACCTTAGTTTCACCTAAAGCCTCCTGAGAACTCGTTACAGAGATACGGGCTGTAGGGAGACTGCAGCATTCAGGTCTCTAATTTCACTAAACTGAAGAGCAGAATATCATTGTGATTTCGCTGGTGCTTCCGGAGCTGCCACGGCTCCAAGTCTGTAGCTCTTCGCTCCCGGCCTTAGCACCTCCTGCCAGCAATGGCCAGCCAGTTCGAAGATGCGGTTCTTGAGGTGGAAGAGCTCAGCGCTGTAGAAGAACAGACACAGCAGCTCGGACACGGCACCTGCCACGCCTGCGGCAAGTCCTTTCCGGCAGCCGAGCTGAGCGGTCGCTGGCGCAAGAAGCTCTGCAAAGGCTGCCGTCGCACCGAGCACTGCCTGTGGAGGCACGTGGGCGCCTGGGCCCCGCTGCAGACTCTCAGCGAGAGGGACGCCACACTTTCTCCTCGAAGAGCTCCGGCGACAGCTCCTCCTGGCAGACCTTGGAGACACACCTGGTGGAGAGTCTCTGGGAAGACGACCCGACGCTCGGCCGCTGTTGCCGGCTGCAAGTGAAAGAGGTGTCCCAGAGCAGTGTGCGGCGAACGGTTCGCAGCGAGGTTGTGAACCGAGTGAAAGAAGTTGCGAAGAACACGAAAGCCAGCTGCAAGACTTGGGACGTGCAAGCCTCGAGAAAGGCAAAGAACAGCGGCAACGAAGGAAAGTCGGAGAAGAAGGCCGAGAAGAAACTGGCCAAAGCCAACAAGGCTGTGCTGGGTCTGGCAGCCAATGTCTTGACCCCAGCTGACTCCAGACGGAGCTGCTCGTTGCCAAGACAAGCCCCTTGGACGAAGAGGCCACAGTCACGGTGCTCAAAGAGTCCCACGCTTTGCTGCAAAGCTGGAAGACCGCCTGCGAGAACGTTCTGGCCAAGAAGGAGAACGCAGGCGACGTTCCGCTGACGCTGCCCTTCTCCAAGGCGGACGTGGACACCCGCCTGAAGACCGCGGCAGCCGCCGCTAAGGCGCTTAAGGAGAACCGCAAGGCTGTCACGCAAGCGTCCCGGACGGCGAAGCGTGCTGCCGCCGCCGAGAAAGGCAACGGCACGGAGCCGGTTGCAAAGAGGCGCAGACGCAAGGGCAACCCAGAGAAGTGAGTGGCTTGAACTTGCATGCCGTTGTCGCGGTCGTTTTCACCCGCCCGCTCTCTAATTCGTTTCTTTTCACATCCTATCTATAATGTAGGATAAAGAGAGAGATCGCCCGCCCGCATCACGGCGATCGCCCCACGGAACACTCTCAGGAGAAACTGCTTCGCGAAAACCCAAATCCCCAGCGCTGGTGCTATCTGCTTCCGCTGCCTTATAATAAAGCTTTGCACATCTTCCACAGGTTCATGCACTCTTTGCTTTTTCCTAAGAGCATGAAAATGCGTGCTACAGTTTCCGAGGATGGTGTCCGGCTATATGCCGGTGCAGGGACCAACTTGGGTCTCCACCTGAACCTACGAGGCTACCTCCGGCAGCAGAGCTCTTCGCAGCAGACGCAGTCCGCAGCGACAGAGGCTGAGGAGAAGACCCAGGACAAAGGCAAGAAGCGGCCACTCCGGCAGCCGAAGAATCAGCAGGAGGAAACCGAACCTACAGAGCTGCCGGCGACGCTTGCATGGGTACCGATCATACCCTGCATCTCGTTGGCGACTAGTGATTCCTGTCTCTTGATGACATTGAATTGTTCCTGCATAGAGTACGCAGCTTGCTCGGAAGTGTTCATGTTAACGCGAAGCTGAAGGTTCTCTCTGGCCTGTTCATGAAGCTCAGTCGTAAGACGCTCATACTCGCGTGCCATGTGTTCACCGTCACCTTGTACCCTTGTCTCCAACTGCACGAAACTGGTTGCAGCTTCACTGCGAACCTGGTGCAACTGCTGAGCTAGTTCCTCGGCGATCATGTGACCATGACGTTGTTGAGCAGAGCTTTGTTCATCCGTTCTGAACAATGCGATTTCGTATTCACGCTTCATCTCCTGGTTGACCTTGTTGAGATGCTGCATGGCCAGATGTGCTGTGTCACGTTGGCATTCCAATTCTCCGATACGAATCTCCGATCCTTCATCTTCCTGTTTCATCTCGTTTATCTTGTCCAACAACGTCTGCACAACACTCTCGTACTTCTGCACCTCGCTTCGATAAAACATGACATCTGCCGCGCGATGCTTGATACCTCAAGTTGTTGTTGCACACTCATCTCTCGTTGCAGATTCGGATCATCAGCAATAGCAGGAGTCGCAGACGATGACGCATCACCACGAACCGGTATGGTTTCAATGGTCATGTCTTCGTCGTCATGATCGTGAGGAGGATTCGTGACCATTTTCTTCCAAGTCATCGACTTCTCCCTTGTCCTTGCTGTTGATGTCCTTGATCTTGAAGACGAACTTCGGGAAGACGCTGGTTTGACTCCCTTCTCCTTCATCCTAGATGGCGTCCTCATCACCTGTAAACCAGATGGTTCAGGACGTCGCCAATCGCCCGTGCTGTCCTTGATCCTGCGGATGTTGGACGAGAAGGCGTCGATGCTCTCGACATGTTCGCTTTCGCTTTGGGAACTGCCTTGGCGCTGGCAACATTCGAGGAATGCCCTTTGTCATCCTCGGTGGAGCTGTCAACGGACTGCACCACTGTGTCGTCAGCAGTTGAGTCTCCAACTGCTGGTGCTGCCATCTCGGCACCGAAAGTCATTGTCGTATCTTGACGTGACCCAGAGTTCAATGTGGTCGTAGTAGATCAAGTAGTCTTTGCTGTTGGTAGGCAGAGCCTACGGCTGATAACCTGCGTGGGGATTTGATCTTGATGTTGTCCTTGTTCGCTCACCCCACCGAGCTACATAATACGATGTGTGGTTGCCTTTCAACAGACTCGATAATCTATCTCTTCCCGTTCCACGTTATAAGCACACGCGCAAGCAGGTAGACTCGAAGACAGCTCTTTTCCTGCTTCGAGGATAGCACAAATCGTCTGTGCAGCGGGATGGCTCAACTCATTAGGTCAGAAAGACAGCAAGCAAATGTTATGTTTGTGGCAATCGTTGATGAGCTCTTGAGCTGTTCTTGAGAAAAAATTGCATAGGCGGCGTGTGGTAAATGGTGTGGCACTGTGGTACGCGTGGCGTGCCCACAGGTCGACACCTAGAGATGGAGTACGCGTGGCGTGCCTCCACTCTTGACCTATACAAGTCATGCCTCATAGCTGTTATAGCGACACCACAGAATCGGACTGGGTATCGAGGTCCATTCGCACCATGTATACTTTTAACAGGCCATGTACTGAGGACGCATGGACTCGACGCGCGACACGTGAGTTAATAGTTTTGTGGTAGCATGAGTATGAGTATTAATCTTGGTATTCGTATTAGTATCAGTAATAGTATTAGTGTTTACTGTAAGTATATATATATATATACATATATGTACATATATGTACATATATATCGACATTAGTAAGTATACATTAATGTTTGTGCTCATCTTCGTTTTAGTCTTAGTGTTAGTGCCAGTCTCAATGCCACTAATAGTACCACTGCTAGTATTAGTATCAGTCTTCATGCTGGGTTTAATATCAGTTAATAATGGCAGACGTGCTAGTAGTAGTATCAAAACTAGAATTAGTTTTGAGATGCTACTATTCTGATAGTTTCGTATATCAGCAGGTTAGTATATCAATACATTAATGTATTCGAGAGGCAACATATTTGTATACTTGTACATTCGTAGATTTAATACTTTAGTACGACTGATGCATGAGTAAACTAGTATATTGGTGTATTAACATATTAGTATATTAACATACCAGTATGTTTGTACATTAGTATATAAATATACTAGTATGTGAAATATACGTGCATTGTCTAATGATTTATAAGTATATCAGTGTGTTGTCATATTAGTACACTAACCTGCCATGTCGGTATACTTGCATATTACAGTAGTCGTATACTCGTACAGTAGCATACTAGTATAGTATGTTCAGACATTAACAAGTAGTGTATTGTTACATTGGTTTATGGGTATGTCCTAAAACATCAGTACATGATAGCATTGATACAGATCGGCGTTTTAAGATAGTGGTATGTGTTTTGGTGTGCATTAGTATACGCACGTGTCTTTTGTAATGGCACATCAGTATGAATATGACTATACGTATTCGTAGGAGTATTAATGTTAATATTCGTATTAGGATTATCCATAGTCGCATTAGCCTTAGTATAAGTGTAAATAATGGCATTATCTTGAATTTTCAACAAGCTATCAATGTCAGTATGAGTATTGCTGACAGCACTACTGTTAACAGCATAAGAGTATATGTAGTAGTACCCGTAGGAGTATCAATACTTATGTAAATCTTGGTGTTGGTATGAACAGTATGATTGGTGTTAGAAAAAGTGCTAGAGCTAGTGCTAATCTTAAAATGAGGATATGTATTCGCAGGAACGTTTGTCTTACATTAGCATTACTCTTGATTACATGAAAAGATTAACAGATAAATACATGCATGAGCTAATGTATTTGTACTTTAATATAGTCGTATGTATATTTATGTACATTGGTATATGCAGGCGTGTATTCGTATTGGTATTAAAATACACTATTACCAATATGGGCATAATTATTGATATGTGTAGGAGTATGAACGTCACTATTAATCATTATTAGTATTTGTATGGTGCCCATTCGTATTGGTTTTATTAAAGCGCAAAAATTAGTGTTAATGCAGGTATTAGCTTGGGCAGTGAGCAAATGATCAATGTCAGTATTAGTATTGGTAATAGCATTCGTAGAAGTACCAATAAAGAAAAAACAATACTTATATATATATATATAGATAGATAAACATTGATATTCGTCTAAACAGACCTTGCCTTTGCAAGTGAGTCGTAGTGCATGGTCTGTCATCCGATGGGTCATAATCAGCCCCCCTTGAAAATCAATTCCAAAAGTGCCAAACTTACCAAAATTTCACAAAACTTCCAAAATTTCCGAAACTTCCAAAATTTCAAAATTTTCCAAAAAATACAAAATTTCCAAAATTTCCAAAAGTTCCAAAAAGTTCCAAAAAGTTCCAAAAGTTAGCCCTTATGTTTTGGACAAATCCTGTCCACTAGGTCTGGGGATTTTGGAAATTTTGGAAACGTTGGAAATATGGAAATTTCGGAAATTTCGGAAACTTTGGAAATTTTGGAAAATTTGGAGTTTTTGGAAAATTTGCGAAAGTTCCAAAATTTCCAAAACCCCCAGACCTCGTGGACAGGGTTTGTTTAAACCATAAGGACGAACTTTTTGGAAATTTTGGAATTCCTGGAACTTCCTCGAGATTTTGGAAAACTGAAAGTTAGGGGCGAGAATTTTGGACATTTCTGAATTGATTTCGGGAGGGCTGATTGTCACCCATCCGATGACAGACCAGGCGCTAGGACTCGCTTGAAAGGGCATGGTCTGTCAACGGGAGGGGCGACCATATATATATATATATATATACGTAGATATAAACATATATATATATACGTGTATATATATATATATATATTATATAATGTATTATGATATAATATAATATACAATAATATAATATAATATAATATAACATAATATAATATAATAGAATAAAATATAATAGAATAGAATATAATATACTATAATATACTATAAGATACTATAATATACTATAATATACTATAATATACTATAATATAATAAAATAAAATATAATATAATATAATATCATATAATCTAATATAATCTAATATAATCCAATATAATCTAATATAATCTAATACAATCTAATATAATCTAATATAATCTAGTATAATCTAATAAAATATAATACAATCTAATATAATATATAATATAATATAAAATAATATAATATAACATGATAGAACATATATAATATATATGATAGAATATAAATAATATTAGAATAGAATATATTATATAATAATATATATTATATAATATGCTTATAATTATATAAATAATATTATTACTAAATAATATAATATCTATCAATATAATATAATATTAAAAAAATAAAATATAATAAACTATAATGTAATGTAATATAATGTAATTAATGTAATTAAGATAATTAAATATAAATAAATGTACTTAATGTATATACTGTAATATCAATGGATAAAAATGTAATATAATGTATATAAATGTAATGTAATATAATGGATGTATGTAATAGAATGTATCTACTGTAATATAATGTTAAATATACTGGAATTCATGTACTATACATTCATTCCTGTAAGCTATAATTGGGTCATCTAATGTAATAAGAATATACTACTAAATACCTGATCCTATAATATACTAAAACATCATATCATCCTCTATCCTACTCATAACATATAATATAATATAATATGTAATGTCATATAATATAATGTAATGTAATACAATGTAATGTAATGTAATATAATGTAATATAATGTAATATAATGTAATTCAATGTAATATAATGTAATATAATGTAATATAATGTAATATAATGTAATATAATGTAATAGAATATAATATAATATAATATAATAAATTATAATATAATATAATAAATTATAATATCATATAATTTAATATAATATAATATAATATAATATTATATAATATAATATTATATTATATAATATAATATAATATAGTATAATATAATATAATATAAGTTACTATGATAAAATATAATATTATATTATATATATATATACATACATATATATGTATATACATATAAGTAAGCTTTCCCCAAAAAAAAGTGTGCCCTTCTGCCCTTGTGTGGTTTGGCCCCTTTGGCCCATGCCTTGCTTTCTTCTTCTGCAGGGCTTGGAGGGCGTGTCAAGCCCCCCGGCCGCATGGGCCCCCCATGTGTTATGGGGCTTGTGGAGAGGTGTGACAAGATAGCGAGTACCCCAGAAACGCAAGGAAAGTATATTGGAATCTAAATTGTCTGGGTTTCTCAGCTATTTTGTACGACACACATGCAGACTCAATTGCAGTACGGTATGTCCCCCAGTTGCTTTTTCAACCTCCACAAGACAAGTAGTCTAGAGTAGTCTAGAGTACCACTTTCACGGAGACATTACAGGGGACATGGGTTTAACCGCTCCACGGTTACAAGGTTTGTTTGTACTTGCACAACGTCATGGTGGTCCCCCCTCATCTTGCAACACAACTTCAAACATACACACAAAAGACTGCAAAGCTTTTTCTCTCTCTCTCTCTCTCTTGCGGCGGCCTGACGGCTCATGTGGGAGTTTCCGAAAATTAGGGGTACCTTATCTTAGGGTCCTTATAATCAGGACCCTACTATTTGGGGTGCTACATGAGGGTCCCCTATTCTCGGAAATTCCCATGTGATGGTTCAGAGGGAATTATAGCCGGTGCACTAAGTGGGGTCCGGGTCCCCCCGTAAGCTTCATTGTCAGCACACGCCCCTTCTGTGTGTAGAGCAGGGCAACTGTACCCCCCATTCCTCCATTCCCTACTAACCAAAGCTAAGTATAGTGTCTCTTTCCGGGAGCAGAAAAAAGGGGACCGGGGCCGGGGACTTCACCAGCCTGCTGCTCGACTGGGGGGGGGGGGGGCGATCTGTGCAAAACACAACCCTGGGGCCCGACAAAGCTCCAGAGCTCTAAAAGAGCCAGCTACAACCAGAACAGCCCTGATAGTGCAAAACAACAACAGGGCTCTTCCGTTGAAGAGCCAGCAGGTTGAATCGACGGGGGCGATCATCAGGGCAGCTTAATTGAAGAACTGGCATCAGCCGAGACACGCAAGCCGGGGGTGAGTTCCCGGCTGGACCCCAAATGGCTACACTCTCTCCGACTCTCCCTCTCCATTCCTCTCTTTCATTGAGCACCGCACCCTGCAATGACTCGCCAGGGCCGGTCATTCACCTGCCACCATGATGCCATGAGGCAGCAGCGCAGCACGAGCACGAGGTGTGGAGAGCAGACTTGCTTAGCTTGACCCTGACATCAACTATGTCGCGTTACAGAGAGCATGCGTGTTCACAGTGCCTGTCGCAGCTAGACGCGATCGTGGGCGCTATCCGGTTGGCAGGCTCTGAGCAACAGTCGCTGGGCTCCTGGCTTTGGCCATGTTCGCTGGTACCTTGACGCAGACATTGCCAACTGGGCACCGAGCAGACTTGAAGCCATGACAAGGCAGCACTGCCTCACCGAGGCAAATTGCCCAGGCATGGCCGCTGGCAGCTTCAACACGGTCCTCTCCGACAGGAAACTCCAAGCAATGGGTGCACCTAACCTTTGCCGCTCTGGCTTCAGTTGGTCTTAGTGTTCTCGAGGTACGGTACGGGTGCTTCTCCCACAACTGTGCCAGGTGCTTCTCATCAGTGCAGCTGAGCCACAGCCCTCCACTCAACGATTCCCTGAGGGACCACGTCGTCAGGGCCGTGGGTGCCAGAGTAGCTTTGACCGTTCACCATCAATTTGTCTTTGGAGCCAATCTCGAAGGCAAGGACTTGGATCGGCAATATGTTATTTTCAGCCACCTCAATGTCGCAATGATCGTAGCTCCCATAGAAGACCAGCGGAAAGCCGGTAGTAGCGATGCACTGGCTGTCTGGCAAGAATTCGCACGACCTTACGAGTGAACGGCTGTCGCAGCCTGCAACAAAATGCAGCTTCTCACGCATCGTGGTCATCTCTAGCCGAACAGCGCTTCTCAGGGTCAAGCCCGGATGACACAAACCACGCAGTCGCCGCAATACTTACCTGCAAAGCTCTGAGCATGCGCTCGGCATGACAGGCACTCACAACTCTTGTGACAAACCAATACAGCATTGAATGATCGATCGTGCTATTGGTGGCACTCGCGATACTCGCAAACAACGGACTTCGACAGCCGTCCGGCCCGACTGCGTGGCTCAACCTACGGCTGCCGGGGCACCTGGTCAGGATAGAGGTCAATCTGAGAATCTGTGCACCACGTTTGCCAACCAGAATCTGGCGGCAAGATCGCCTCGCTGTCGGCCCTCCTCGCAAGACGAAGGTTCGTCGTAGATTGTCAGTGGTGTCAGTAGTGGTGCGGTGAAGGCATGCTTATTGAAGAATCTCAGTCGACGTTGGTCTGATCGTCAAGTGGATTTCGTTTTTGCAAAGATTTGCTGGTATATAAATCTGAAGAGCACCTCCCGAAAAAGCCAGAAAACCCTTCGAGAACCTCTTCCGAGCTTCGAATAGAAATTGCACGAGTCGGCACCGCCAGGGTCGTTCGAGCTGTTGTCGTTGGGGGAACTGCTTTTGAAGTACCAGGCTGCACCACACTGCTCGTCGTACCAAAGGTACACCGCAGCGGGTGTGATGCTGTTCTCGTACTTGTACCAGGGTCTTGCGAGGCCGCTCGAGCTCCAACCTTGGAGCTCATAAACGCCGCTCAACCAAGGGCGGCAGCTGTTTTGGACGACCAGGTACTCGGACATATTCGCCTCAGACACAGCTCCCATTCTAGCAACGAACAAAACTATCCTTAGCTCATGCCGGCACTTCGCAATACGAGTATCATTCCGAAGCAACAACCTCACGAGCAGAGAGTGTCTGCGCTCCTCTATTGCCCGAAAGTTCACTGTGTATGTCTGAAGGTCACCGAGCTTAAGAATCACAGTACCAGTCTGCTGCAGTCCAGTTAACTGCACTTTATGGCTCGGCCCGATGGCACGCTTCTCCCACCTCCCCCTGTTCACTGGCCTCCCTCCATCCACGCCTTTCAGCACTTTAAACTGCAAATGATATTCAAAAAAAATGCTTGCAGGAAAGCACCCTAACCGTTGCCATGACCAAGTTCAAGCAATCGGCCGGGCCAGCTCTCGTCGTGGTTGTCATTGTAGCGGTCATCGTCGTTGTTAGAGTCGTCTCCTGGAGCCACGATTTTGCAAACCACAGGATAGCTACTGCAACTGGTACTGATGCTGGGCTTTTAAACACCAAGCAGAAGGAATGCACCGTTGTCTAATGTGCCACAGTTTCGTTTTGTATAGCTCATAGCACTTCTCAACGCTTCGTCAAGACTGTTGTCCTTCTCTTTCATGTGTGACCAGCAAGCAGCAGCGAAACTGCACATATAGAAGCTTGCAGCCAGTAACATCACTAACAAACCTGAAACTGCTGCACTTCAGGACGCATCCTAAGTTCTGCTCGCCACGTTCTTCCTCGCGACTCTCCGAAGCCTACAGCAAGATGCAGACCTGGCCCTTTTTGTTGGACTGTTGGGAATTTTGTCGCTGATTAGGTCGACATCCTCCACAGCATGGCTTCACCAAAGTGAACCGAACAAACAAGAGGCAACACCTGGAAAACCTGGCGAAACTTGTAGAACGCGAGGGCAAAACTGCTGCGAAGTGCCGTGGTCATTTGCGGGACCCTTACGTGCATCCCTTGCGTGGCCCCGTGTCGACACCATGAGCCTCCGAGCGATGAAACAATATTTTGCATAGTTATTCTATATGTTCAGCATTGTTCTTCAATACTCCGGATTGAAGTTGAAGGAGCTCAATACTGGGTCGGATCTGCAAACATATTGTCGCTGTTGAACCCTAGTTGGATCATCTTTCAAGCACGATGCGGGCACATCTGTTTATGCCCAGACAGCCTAACACCCGCTCCCTCTCACAATTCTTACACGCAAGGTCATGCAGCCCATTACTCAACAGAGGAGCACTCAGACCCTGAAGATGCGTGCCACCTCCCCTCTTCTTCGCTAGTGCGTGATAACCCCCACGCCTGTAATGCATGCACAAGGAGTAAATGCCTCCACAAGGGCATGCAAGGCAGTGCTTCAACTGCGCCGAGGGGCTTCCGAAAGTGTGAGTGTGGTTTCAGTCCACTTCGTCGGCTCGTAGCATAATATTTTCCATGTTGCGCTCTGTGGGGGCAGCTCCGTGTTGCTCTCTACGTACCTAAGAAGCCGAGCTCTCGACTCGACTGGTCGTGTTGCGAAGACATTGGATGCGATTCGCTCTGTGAAGCCACGGAGCGCCCTCCTTGCCGCACAGCTATAGCTCGAGGAGGAGATTGTCCACGCGTGAGGCTCGCCATCGCAATCTGTACTGTAGTACAAAAAGTACGTCTCCTCAAGTGCATACATCCACCGTCCATTGACATCGTAGCCCTGCAGGTCATAACGGCCATTGACTCTGGAATCGCAGTGGCCATCGAGCACAAACTGCACCTGTGCAAGCCATCAGCATTCAAACATGCACTTGGGCCGCTTTTCTGTTTCCCAGAAACAGGTATGCAGTATGAAAGAGATATGTGATATGAATAAACTATGAAAATCATATGACAGGGAATACAGAAATGGCATCGCCCTAAACTTAAGTACGCATTGCACGAACTCCATACGGGCGGCCCCGGGAACACACCAGAATCCTCCCTTTCCTCTCCACGTGGTTCGCATTTGATTTTACGTTTTGTTCGCATCTGTTTCCACAGTCATGTCAAACTGTCTGCAATGACCTGGATTGCTTTGCGTGTCTCTTTATTCCGCAGGTTTATCTTTTCGTCTGCTTCCACTCAATGCCAGCAAGCGCACGTCCTAACATCAGCAGAAGCTCTTGAGCAATGTGACTTGTCAAGCGGTGCACTGGACCTGCAGCACAAGAGCCTCTCCAAGGCAGGTCTCTTAAACAAAAGCCCTGCAATAAGAGTCTTCATAACAAAGAAAGAAGCTTGCGACCGGACTTCTGAAGGTCAGAGTCATCCAAAGCTCGGCACTCTAGTGGATCGTGCCCCGTGCGGCACGCAGAGACTCCAAAACCCTTTAATTCAGGAGTATACCTTAGAGATTCTGATAATGTCCTTAATGTGATTCAAGGTATATTCCTTAAAATTAAGGGGTTTTCGAGTCTCTGGCACTACATGGTCTGGACCGGCCTCGTCAAAGTATAAGCTATGACCTATGATGCCCTTGACCCAGAGTTTGTCCAAAGTAGAATAAGTAGAGAACATGACTTTGATCCACACATACCGCCTCTCTGCCATCCCCTTAGGGTGATTCCGCACTTCCGCACCAATTTGTGTGTGTGTGTGTGTGTGTCTGTGTGTGTGTCTGTGTGTGTGTGTGTGTGTGTGTGTGTGTGTGTGTGTCTGTGTGTGTGTCTGTGTGTGTGTGTCTGTGTGTGTCTGTGTCTGTCTGTGTGTGTGTGTGTGTCTGTGTGTGTGTGTGTGTGTCTCTGTCTGTGTGTGTGTGTGTGTACGTGTGTGTGTGTACGTGTGTGTGTGTGTGTGTCTCTGTCTGTGTGTGTGTGTCTCTGTCTGTGTGTGTGTGTCTCTGTCTGTGTGTGTGTGTGTGTGTCTCTGTGTGTGTGTGTGTCTGTGTGTGTGTGTGTGTCTGTGTGTGTGTGTACGTGTGTGTGTGTGTGTGTGTGTCTCTGTCTGTGTCTGTCTGTCTGTCTGTCTGTCTGTCTGTCTGTCTGTCTGTCTGTCTGTCTGTCTGTCTGTCTGTCTGTCTGTCTGTCTGTCTGTGTGTGTGAGTGTGTGAGTGTGTGAGCGAGTGAGCGAGTGAGCGAGTGAGTGAGTGAGTGAGTGAGTGAGTGTGTGTGTGTGTGTGTGTGCGCGTGCATTTCGCGGTCTAAGGCCAAGTGGTTCATTTCGCACGGTGCCTCCTGCGGCTCCTGCGGCTGTCGCAGGCAGATTTGCCAACCGCTCCGCTGGACTGAATGGTCCTCACAACGAAGAGACTAACAAATACTCTTGAGACCGGGTGAACAGCATAAGAACGAGGTGACGATCAGAATGCCGCCTAAGGTTCAGCACTCCAATCGATTGTGCCCTGCGGCACCATGCCATCGGGACCAGAAGTGCCGCTGTATTCTATGCCGTTGACCCGTAGTGTGTCAAAGCCACTTTCCGTGCGGAAGGCGGCCACAAGAATTGGCCTGATGTTTTTCTCGCTTACTTGGATGGTGCATGCGTCATTCCGCGGATAATCAGACGGATGGTTCGTGGAGCTGATGCATCCATCGGCATCAAGCGTGCATTGCCTCAACTCACCCTTCCCGCTGACTACAGTACGGCGTGAAGTTATGAAGGCCCACTGCAAACTCAGTGCTGGGACGGCACCCGAAGTGCGACAAGTGCGACACGCAGCTCAGGACCGGGCCCAGATGTTACACTCCATGCCTGGGTGGTGCACAGCAGCATAGCAGCACAGCAGCGCTTGAAATCGCAACCAGCGTGTTGCGCATCTATCTCCTGCATAGCAGCCGGCATGAACTAAGCCTGGCGCTGCAGCAAGCCGCCCGATGCCAAGTAAGAGTAGCAAGCACGAACGCAGCGCTTGCAGGACAAGAGCTCGGAACATCGCAAGGCACCCTGCAACTCTAATACATTTGTGCCGACACAGCATAAATGCATTCACAACGCTGCAACTAGCAGAACGCATGCAACACAAGTGAGACCAAGGAACGAAACAGCAACAGCCCATTTTCAATGTGGTTTGAGCACATTGAATGAAGAGGACAAGCATGGTACATAAAAAAAGGGCTGCTCGTGCGTGCAGTGCTTTGCACTCTCGCCCTGCCATCTCGTAGCAGTTCCGAGCCTTTGGATGCAACTCTGACTCTAACCTTTGAGATTTCGGTCCACTTGAGGGAATGTGTTTTACTAGCCGCATAGTAGAACAACCAAAGGTGACCAGTGTCTAGAACAAGAATAATCCCGAAACCTATTTTTCGCGTCTCTTGAGACTGAAGGTCCCAATGGAGTTTTGCTGCTCAAGCGCTGCAAACTGCAAAAGGGATAGTCCACACGCGCTGCTGCAACTCCGAAGGACATTGCATGAACTATACTCTTGCTGAAACTCATCGCGACGAGGGTCAGTCTACGCCCAAGCTGAATGATCCTTGGTCCTTGAACCCAAACCAATCCGCCATTCGACAATTTCTTGCGGACCCAACATTGGCTCGGCTTGGGCCAGCCACTCGATTCCGGAGATGCTCGCTTCAGCAGGATCTGAATGCGCAATCAAAGCTGCTTCAAAACAGCAAGAGCTTAAAAGTTGGAAACGGGATGAAACAGGTCGACGTCCACCTGGTTACCAGTTGCAACGTCTCTACTTTGGGGACCTCTTGCGGTGTGGAAGCCTTGGTAGTGGAGAACCTCGGCTGGTTAGTGAAGTCCTGAAAAGCACCTCTAACGTCCCTCGACGCAAACCTCTTGCTCGCGCGGCACGATGCTTCAGGAGTCATGTTGCTTCTATCGGAGCTTGAACACTTCAAGATTGCTGCGTTCACAGCCCTCGAGTTACACACAAACAGACATCCGTCCCGCGAGATCGGGCGAGGAGCCCGGAAAACTCTGCCCGCGGAGGCGGAGGTCGGCGTGGAATCTCCCCGGTCAGGCCTCGGCCAGTCGCGATCCCCTATCATGTTCACCAATGCCCAGCCCAGGGGAAAGTGCTGCGACATGGCAAAAATGGATGTCACCGCCTCACCCATATTATTTCCAATCTTTCTTCCCTGCTCATGCACTAAACATCTCCTATGTCCATGGCCTCCCCAACCATCTCTCGCGGCGGGCCGCACAGTAGATTGCCGCAGGAGACAGTAGCCTGCGAATGGAAGACTTCAGTTTTGCTGGCAACGCGCTCTGCTTCAGATCAACCATCGACTTCACTTGCATACACCAACGAGCTGCGCATCCGCGACACCACTTCCTGAGTGCACACCAGCCTCAACCCGAAGCAGCAAGCAGCGGGATTCAGGGCATGACCAGCAAAGCAGACGGAAGCAAGTCATAAAGGTGTTTTGTGAACAGACCGGTGTTCGCCGTTCAGCAATAAAGCATCTGCCGGGGCTTGAAAGCAGATCGACAAGGTAGAGAAGGAGGGGCTGTCGGGAAGGGGGGCAAGAGGCGACTAGAGGCTGAAAAGAAACAACATGGACATGGACAGTACCGTACCGCAGTCACATTCAGAAAAACTCACGCCATCAATGTCCACAAGCTGGAACCCAAGTGTTCCGGTGTTTTGACGAACAAGGCGGGGCTCGTGTTCCAAAACCTATGATAACAAAGAGCCTCTCACGTCGGACTGCTCGGAAATTGGGAACTCCAAGTGAAGATGATTCGAATGGACTTGAACCGATCGAGAAAGACTACGAGGTTGAAAACGCAAGAGTTTTATATAGGTGCCTCAGAATTGTGGCAGGGGAAGATCCAACCGACAAGAGGTGCCGACCGAAATCCGAAGCCGAGGGGGGGAAAGAACGTTCAAACAAGATCACGGGCAAGGAGACAGGGGGAATTGAACAATTCCCTCGAAACGTGCTCAAGAAGTTGAGCAATGGCTTCCTTACGCTTCTCAACTTCGAATCCTTTCTCCGCAACTTACACAGTTGTGTTAAGCTTGTCCCGATCGAACGGGTTGTTCCCCTCTTCCAACAACTTTTGCGCTGCTCCTTTGCGAAAACCTGTCTGCCCCTTGGCGAGGAGCTTGCTGCCCTCTTTCTACCATTTCACGTTTCCTTTGCGAACGAACACCTTGCACCGTCCTCGACCGCGCTCTGCGGTGCTCTCGTCCTTTCGCAGGGTTCGCCGCACTTTGACAAGCCCCGAACTCATTCCGACGGTTCTTGCTGCCGTCTTAGGTGGGTAGTAAACTGCCCCCTGACGGTGGCACAGAGCCCATTGCTGTCAGCTGCATTCACCTGGCCTTGCTGCAGGTTGGGACCGCCCCGTACGTTTGCCCTCCTCCATTGGCGTAGGGGTTTGTCTTTGCCGGTTTTCACAGAGGATTCATGGTTTGGGGCACGTGATGTTTGAGGTTCAGAACTGTGCCGTTCTGAATGCGAAAATGCCGAAAAAAACCCACTGTTGCCGACAAACCCAGGAAAAGACAAATGCCCATGTTGGCTCAATCAAAGAGTCCCACGCGCAGCCGTGTCTTCCCAAGCTGTGTTGGGAGCCTGTCTGCCCTGTGCCATGGGTGCTCTGACCTCAGAACGGGTTAGGCCACGGACGTTACCATGGTAGGGCCTCGCATGGATGTTCTGACCTTAGAACGAAACAGGCCCCGGATGTTGCTATCGTCAGGCTATGGATGCTCCGACCTCAGAGCATGGGAGTTATCATGGTAGGGCCATGGATGCTCTGACCTCAGAACGGACTAGACCATGGAATGGTAGGGCTATGGATGCTCGGACCTCAGAACGGAATAAACCATAGCCGATATTATGGTTGGGACATGGATGCTCTGACCTCAGAACGGAATAGACCATAGACGATATTATGGTTGGGCCATGGATGCTCTGACCTCAGAACGGATTAGACCATGGACGCTATCATGGCGGCGCCATGGATGTTCTGACCTCAGAACGGAGTTGACCGTGGATGTTATCATGGTTGCGCCATGGGTGCTCTGACCTCAGAATGGATGCGACATGATGCGACCATGGACATTATCAAGGTCGGGCCATGGATGCTCTGACATCACCTCAAAACGGATTAGACCAGGGACGTGATCATGGTAAGGCCATGGATGCAGACCTCTGAACGGATGCGACCATGAACATTATCAAGGTCGGGCCATGCATGTTCTGACCATGGATGCTGTGACCTCAGAATGGATGAGACGATGAGACCACGGAAGCATGAAGGCAGTGCACAGGGTGTTCTGCCCGGGCTGCTTCACGCTCAAGAAGAGTATAAGAGATCCCGCAGCAGATTTACAAGGAGGGAAATTAAGGGACTCGATGAGCAGGTTCAAATTGCATCGATCAAGGAGCAGAACTTGACGAGGAGACAGCTTGAGGAGTCTGTGTTTACGAAGTTTGAGGCAGGCGATGTTGTCAAGAAGTTCTTCAAGCTCATGGATAAGTTTGTATTGAGAGTAAATACAGTTACCTCAACCGAACTTTCTAGTTTATTCGCGGACGCGATAGACGAGGTCGTAGAGCAGAGCAGAGTAGGGCCGATTAGGGCCAGCACAGCAAAGCAGGGTAGCAGCACAGGTCAGGGCAGTGCAGTCGTTTCTCCTGCTGACAATCGAATTGGAGCCCCTCTTCAGCACTCGTAGGACCAGTGCACGTGTAGCCCAAAACCCGCCAGGCCCAGATGCAGCAAGCTACTCTGCCACCGGCCTAAGTAGAGGGTTGGTGCCGCCCATGCCGCGGGCCCCGAGCAGCAAAGGCAGCGGCCAAAGTTCGCCTCGATGGCGATCAGGCAAGGAACACCTTCTCTGAGGCTCTGAGGATGATCCCTTGAAACATTGAAGCGAACTCTGTGGGAAAGGCAGCAGAAGTCAGAGATCCGAACTCCCGGCTGGTGGATCCCAGGGCAGACAACGAGAACGTGTGGGCCATGCTCGACGAAGGGTCCCGTCCTGGATCGGGCCTTCAGGGCATAGGCGCGACGAAGGCAATTGGGAGGTTTACGATGCCTCTCGCGTCCCGGATCTCTCAGAGGACCGGAAAGAAGGCCACGACGCTCCTTGGAGAGCTCAGCCGGCCGACTCCAAGGACGTCCTCTGCCTGCTCTCCCTTCAAGTTGATCAAGGAAGGGAGAGTGCCGCCTCAGCGGCTACCAGGGCAGCGTCGAGCTCGCTCGGCACATGAAGACTGGCCTGCTGCTCCTGAACATGTCCCAATTTGGGGCAGGAGTTTCGCATCGGCGGAAAGTTTGCGCTCGAGCCTAAAACCTGGAGCCAGAGAACGTGAAGGACAGTGAAGGAGATGGTAAAAGGCCACAAGGACCAGAAGAAAGTGGTCTCGATCCCGGGAAGGAACGAGAATCGCTCCGCCTACATGTTGAAGGCCGCAGTTCGCGAAAGCTCTACCATAAGGCGTGAACAAGTTGATAGGAACCTTCCACCGTGGAAAGTTCTGAAGTTTCGACCTCGCCGACCAGGACGACACCCTTCTGAAGTCGCTCAGGCTCAGGGAATACCACGACTTTCTGGAGGGCTAAGTAGATGGTCAGCTGCTTTTTCAGGACTGCCGAGAGATGCCCGATGCGAGCAAGGACCACTCCATGAGGGATCATCTTGGCACGTTCCGGAAGAACTTGCAAAATACGATCCAAGAGACGGATCGCTCATGGCATCGCTGGATGTCGCATGTAGCAAGTCGTCCCAGAAGCCCACCGACTTCTTCAACAACACGACGACTCCGTCCTGGTTTTCAGTTGCAAATCTGGAGACACACGTTGGCGGCGAACTCGATGTTGTTTCTTGAAGCGATCCGAAAACTTTACACAGCAGACGCTTCCTTGACCCATCTATGCGACGGGTCAAATTGCATGGAAGCACGTTGGCCAAGGATTCAATGTGTGCACTTGATCAGACCCCGGGCGAAGAAGGAAAGTCGAGTCCATCATGAACGATGTTTTGGACATCTGGCACGAGCACGCCCGAAGGTTGGGCGCGCAAGGGCACCGTTCGGAGGCTCGACAACAGCGGTGTTGGTACAGAGCAACCGACACCGCTGAGCCGGAATTTGGCTTTGGAGTGAGTGCCTTGTATTTTGGCGGCAAAACTGTGCAGCAAGTCAGCCGACGATCTGAAACTGTGTTCGGCTTCCAAGAGGCGCATGTCCGAACCTTGATATCTTGCAGAGCAAAGCACGGCGTCGCGCGCACTCTAGGCTGCTGGAATGTCATGGCGTGCTGCTGACGCTCAACTGGGTCAGCCGCAGTGCTAGTAGGCAACATTCGCGCCCGGTGGCGCTGGTGGACACAAAAAGGTCAGTCTGCAGCATCAGCAAAGAACGGAGCTCAGCCAAGGCTTCGAGGAGAGTGCTACGGGGTACTGCAGCAACTTGCCTTGCATGCGACATGTTTCGTAGACTGGTGTATGTCCCTCAGATTCAAATCCGGCTGACGCCTTCCAGCTGTAACATGCAGCTGCCACTCGGCATAGTCGCACTGGCATGATGTCTGGTGTGCCGAAAGGGTGTTATCATACCCACCCGGCACGTAGCGCTGCCGCTTCCACGCGCACGAGTGGCTCGAACTTTGGGGTGGGAAAAGTTTAGGTGCCATGGCCGTTGCTGCATGGTTTTGATGATTTGGGAAATGCTTTGTTTTTCCACATGTGCTACATTCACTGTAAGACCAGATCAATCAGCTCGCAAGCTGCGCGCTGGGAGTCTTATCCTTGAGTCCTCAAGGGTTGTAATCGGGGTGGCCGCGCAGCATTTTGCAGTAGCTGCGATCGCGGTACATCCCAAGCGTGAAGACCTGGTCACTGCCATCTGCCATCCGGGTACTCTACTGCATTCCAGATGTTGTGGACCTGGCGATCATGGGTCCTCCATGAGCTCTTCGTCTGACTCCTGGATCTCATATATCTGGGTTCCGTGCAACTTTAGAGTCATCTTCACCCCAGTTGACAAAACATGCCGTGTTCATTTGCTTGATGCATTTGCTCTCCGACTCTGAGAGGCCAGGCGTTCCGGGTCGTTGGTTTGCACGGCTTTGTCCACAGACCTAATCACCTGCGCAAAGTGCGCAACCGGGCCCTTTTGTCAGCCTTTGCCGGGACACTCTCTGTCTCCAATCCAGTGACCTTTGAAGCCACATGCCTTGCATTTATCTCCTGGAGCTTCTTCCTGCGGTCTTGCACCGTCAGGCTTGTCGTCCTGGGTCGGTACGAGTGCGCGCCCTTTGAAGCTACGGGCTTTCCCTTGCCCTTCGCTTTCGACCTGGACCTAGTCATAAAGGCGACAGTCTCGGCCTGCGCAACAACGTCCGCCAGGAACGCCAAACTCTCTCGGACGTTCTCGTCGAAACCTTCGGTGCCAAGGAAGGCGTTGTCCTTCAAGGAAGCGTCTGTCGTTAGCCTCTTCTTCCGCCACGTAGGCCGTGCTAGCCTCCTCAGCTATACATAAGCATCGAAAAACGTCTTCGAACGCCGAGAAGTGCGAGTACGAGGTCCCCTTCTGGGATCCTGTGCCGTGCCCTTTCTTTCCACCCTTCGCGCCTTTGGCGCCCTTCCAGGTGTTCCTTTCCCAATTCCTGTATTCCCTTTCCTTTCTTCTCCGGAGTGTGGGGGTGGCTGCCCATCCTGACCAGCGTCTTTCGGCTTCCTTGGTCGCTGTCGAGCCGGCCATTAGTGTCAGCACCATCGGCCGCTCCTGCCGTCCAAAACCTGAGCTGTCCAACAGCAGGTCTGTCAGGAAAGCTTCGTTGATGGCGGTCCTCGGGTCTAGCTGTTTTATCTTCCGCCACCAGCACTGCCTTCTCGAAATACGGAGAACAATCGGCTCTCGGGCTGCCTCGGCGATGATGTATGCCCCGATCCTTTAAAGATGCCAGTAACTTGGAGGCGAGGTCCTTCCTGTCTTCCACCGTGTCATCGCTCGGAACTCCCACTCGTGAAAGTCACGACAGTCACGAACGGTTCCGGCGTAGACCACGAAGCCAACCTTTGTCTGGTCTGTTTCCAGATCCTGATGCGGTCGCCACGCCAGCGATCCAGTGGCCATGGCGACTCGCCCGCGGAGGGGCGACCAGTATCGGGCTCGAGCTCTGGTTCTCTTAACCGAGAGCTCTGCAACCAGTGCGAAGACCAGTCATTTTTCACGCTCACCCGCAAGGCTGGGTCCAAGGGGCCTCTGCGCATGGGAGGTCTTCAGAGACACGGTACAAGCGCACATGCACACACTGGGCGCGCTGGTAAACAGGTCTATTTCACTCATGCAGCATTTCAGCCGCGCGGGTGGCGTCCTGCCAGACTGAAACCTTCAAGCAGGCACGCTGGTGCAGCAATGGCCCCCCCCCCGCCTTTTATTTTCGACCAGCTTACCCCGTTTCTCTGGTGGCCGTTCGTCTTGTTTGGCCCCCTTCTCACAAATCATGATTAACCGGACAGGAAAACGAGGGGTTCGCAAGACGAAAACCCCCTTGAGGTGGAAGCCTTGGGAGAACATGTCGTTGAGGTAAACAGAGGTGTCTGGCAAAAGACAACTCTGAGGACTGTGTAGAGCAAACACAGGAACACAAAGGGAAATACGAAGGCAGACGACAAGAAAGGATGCAGCAAAGGAGACAACCAGCGTTTAAAGGGATACATTGCGGGCAGTTTCGCCGTGGCATACATCACCACATCAAAGCGACCCCAGACATCTCGAATCAGGACCCAAGCCCCGGTGTCGAAAAAAGAAGAAGCTGATTCTCGGTTGTTTGTGTCAATTCTCCATTGCATGCTGGTTCTGACGACGGCTGGAAGACCGTAGCACAACGGGTAGCATACATTGAACTCATTGAGAGCAACAGCATTGCTTTTCATACGCACCCATCGAACACTGCAGCAGCCCATAACACCGTCTCAGCGAGAACACCCCCCACATCTGCTATGGTTGCATGTCCGTGCGGCGCCTCTCCCTTGCTGCCATCCCGGAAGTCTGGCTCCAAGATCTCTAAGTCATCCTGCCGGCTAAGCTCTGGCGTCGCTTTCCACCTAAACCCTTCATGCAATCAAGCCAAACACCACCACGCACTCCGAGTCCAAAAGCAATTTGAAGACCAGGTTTCGACATTCCCGAAGCCTAAGCCCTCAGCGAAATTCCCTGAAGTCCTGCACAAAGTCTGCAAACCCTTCGCTGTTTTACAGTCCCCTCTGGCTGTTTCGGCCTCAGACTTGCCAGGGACGCAACAGTTCATGGCCATCGCTCGCTTCGGAGCCCCGGGAGCCTTGGCGAATGGAAGTTGAAGGCTTCGGGTTCAGAGATTAGGCTTTGGCTTTCAGGTTTTGTGCTCCGAGTTCAAAACTTAGTGAGAAGCTGTGGGAGAAGCAGGAAATGCGGGGTCACTGTTTTACCTCCCGAGCATGATGCGATGACGACGATGTCGTGAGAAACAAAAGATGGACATCAGAGTGCCGATGATGCTGTCGCTTGCGCAGGACGATGCTGATAGTGCTGATGCTGACGCCGACGACGATTGCGACCGTGGTGTGGAGTTTTGACGGTATATACACTTTAGGCCCTGAAGCTCAGACCCGCTTTACGGCCGAAGTATGCCGAGGTGCGAAGCCGCTTTCCGAGGATTCAAGCTGGCACTTGCTCCCTGGCGACCGGTTATCACCGCTGCAGCATCTGGGTACCATGTACTCATTAGACAGCGCACTTCCTTCAAACGTCTTATGCGTACGCCATCCAGGCAGCTTAGAACCCCAAGCAACAACCTTCGTGAACGCCCACTCTGCTTCTTACTCCACTCCTACACTACTCCTACTACTTCAATACTACTGTTACTACTGCTACGACTGCACCACCACAACCAGTACCGCTCCACTGCAGTGCGACTACTACCACTGCCTCGGATTGCCTCGGGAACTTCAACAGCTCAAACAACAGTCGCTGCAAGGACTGCAAGCAAGTCCCCCACGGCCATGCCCCGTAAAGTCGACTCTGTGCTTTGCAGCTCGTGTTCTTCCGGTTTGCCTTCTAGCGGCTTCTCCTCCATGAATATGTTGGTGAAGTCCTTGACAGGGCCCAAGCTACGACCACACTCACTGGAGATGTCGAGCTCAGAGGTGACGATTCTAAACGCGTGTATGTGACACCCTCAGCAACTGCCACACGTGCTCACACAGCAAAAAGCAAAGACAACATTAAACCAATCGGGACGCCGAGCCCCATGAGAAATGTGTGGGGAAATCCCAAAAGAAATGTGGATCAACAATCTAGGCTTCGGGGATCCAAAAAGTCTTGGGATCTGATAGAAATACCAGTGCATTTGCTCAGAAAAGGATCAACGAAAACAGCCGAAGGCTGCGGAAAAAAATGTAACCGCAAGGGTGGGCTTCCTTGTGGTAGCACTAGTAAGTAGCCATAACAATAGTATCCATAATAGCAAGAAAAACAATGACACTAATAAATGCAATAAGAATGGCAGTAATAGTAATACAGTAGTGATAGAGCCGCACTGCGTAGAAACACACGGATCACCAGCCCCGATGAAGCACATGGTGGTCACAAGTGACCCGCGAGGGGGTGGTCACAAGTGACCAGTCTGCCCACCGCATTATCCAATTTTCAGATCACGCATACCAACACCAACTCTGAACCCGACAGAACAACGGAGCCTGCTCGGAGGTGGTGGCTTTGCCAGTTCCCTCTTTTGCCATCTCATGCCTGCACAGATGTATGCGGCAGCGGTGTTCTGCAGAAGGCGTCCACAAATGAGGTCAGGGCGTCGGAGTCGGGCTCTTGGAGCCTCAAAGCAGCATGCCAAGAACCGCCGTGCATGGCTAACCTGTGTGATCATTTGTCCATTTGTCATTTGTGAAAGTAGCAGGCGCTCGCGACTGACTGTATGTCCCGCGACACTTCGGCACGTTGGGTACCCCAAAAGTGCGTGCTTGTTCCAGGTTCGCCGTTGCGCCCGGCAATTCTCTGGGGTTTCTCTGCGGCCTCCTAGATCCCCACATGTTTGTCTTGTCGGGGCTTCCGACGAATTTGCATCGAGGCACAACCTCGCAAACACTTGCTACTGCTACGATTCTTTCGGAGTCCAAGACGTGGGTCTTCGGCTACCGTCAGAGTGTCAAAGGTTGCCGCTTCCTACGCCTTTGAAGTTCAACTGTTTGCGACAGGGGGGTGTATGGGTATACTTCGTCAGGCACACCGGTGGGGTATGCCAGGTATGCCATCACCTGGCAGGACGTGTCCGAGAGCAGCGCAGCATCGGTATCGCCCGGTATTTCAGCGCAAGGCATCGTTTCTTCAAAGAAAGGAAATTACAGGTTTCGTGAGCTTCTCGGACTGGGCCGCTGCCTGTCAGTGCATCCTGCGTACTGTCACAATCTTAACAACCTGAAAACCCACCCTAAAGCGTTAGGCTGCGAGCCGTGGTCCCCGCCCCAGTCATCGTACTCGTCTCCGGCGGTGGCCCAAGCGCGCATAACCTGGCCCGACATGCACGCAGATGCACAGCGCAGCACGGTCTGCTCTGTAGAGCTGCACTTTGGCCGAGGACGGTGCCTGTCGGGTGCCCCTGTGTCGTTTGTGAAATTCTGTTACGACTTTGGCGGCTTCCTTTCCATCAGCATCAGTCGCCGAAACAATAATCACAGCATTCATGTCGTTAGTGTTCTGGTCCAAGTAGGAAGATGCTCCACCCTTCGGACCTCAGACTGCTCAGCCCCCAAGCAGCCTTCGGACTGCAAACAGCCTATGATTTTGCGTCCAACACCGCCTATGCCCGCGGCGAAGGTCCTCGAGCCGGATGCGCTCCATTGTGAACTCTTCTGCGTCCAGCAGCAGCTTTTCGTCGTCTACAGCAATAAAAGGGTACGTCTCGTTTCTTCTTGCCTTGTTCCTCAGTGACATCCGGAAACAGGCGGCTCATGGGGCGGTGGCGTTCTCAACCGCAGAACTGGGACTTGAGCAGATCCTCCTCCAAAGCGGGATATTCGAGCACCGTCATGTCATTGCTCACATCTGGCTGGATGCCCAACAGCTTCAGTCCTCAATGCAGAGATCTAGATTGCTGCAGCAAGCAAGCTTCCCCCATGACCCCATGCAGGTCATGCCCAATTTGCGCCAGAGAAAAACCAGCGGTCGACTGCCGCTGCAGCCCCTCTGCAACTGCACAAGCTAGCGACAAAAGAATTCAGGTCTGCATTGGGATACAAGCGTCCGGTGGCCCCCTCATCCACAGCAATCTGCATTTTGGCCATCACCGAGAAGCGGTAGAACGAATACCACTTGAACCGCTTGACGCCCTGGCCATGGGCCCATGGGGCCATGCTGTGCCGGACTGTGCCAGACTGCAAGCTTAAGCCGAAGGGGTCCTTTGCATTTATGGCTGAAGGATTGACGCTGAAGCTCTAGCTCCCGTGCCTCGCCCTCACGCTGTGGGAGGTCGTCTTTGAACAGCGGCATGAAAGCGAACTTTGCCTCGGTTCCGGTTCAGCAAGTCAGCTTCAGGTGATCTGCATCGGGCAAGTGAGGCGCAGACGCGCCCGTGCGATCCATGCCGCTCTTTGTTGCTATTGTGTTCCCGAACCACCTTCTTCACCTCGAGGACTTCCTTCACGTCGCACGCTGCAATGATGACGGCACGCCTGTCTGCCGTGTGTTTGCTGATCTCTTTGCCTTGCAGAGTGCGGTAAAATGAGTGCAGCACTGGCGAATACTGCAGCATGCATCGAACAAGGCTCAGACCCAAGGAGTTGAGGGAGATTTGCGATGCAAAGGTGATGCTTTTGTAGTCAAGGACCAATTTCCCGTCAACGTAGAAGGGGTGCTTCTTCGATTTGAACGCTTTCCCCCTCGGTTGTGAGGGGCATGATGTCCTCATGATCGACCACTTCACACTGCTGGGCCGGGATGTTCGGTACTTCCCACTTACATAATTAAGTCGCCGACATGTCTTCTTGCAGCTTTCCAGCTGCTTGAAAGAGATAACCATGCTCCCAGTCAAGCTTCGTGGGCTTCTTTAAGATGAACATCTTGACTCCTGGACTAAACTGCAGAAT